CCCACATTTCAAATTACCAGTTTCTTTCGATCATCCAAAACGAAATTTATAATAAAATTTAGTACCATTTAGTACAATTCATATACTTAATACACATTTCCAAAAACACTATATCCCAAACATAATTTTCATACCAAATGTCAAGATTTTAGCTGTATCCATTCCCAAAATACAAAAAAGTACGCAATTTAGTGCTTTTTAGTACACTTCTAGTCCGAATTTCCAAAAACCTAGCATTATCTTACCCTGCCCACCAACATTGAGATACATGGAAAATTTCAAGAATTTAGCTTCGCATGGACGTTGGTGAATCTGTCAGTCAGTCACTAACTCATTGCTTTCTGAAAGGTACTGAAAGTTGATAAATAGGAACAAAATAGAGGAAATGGAACACACCGTCCTAAATGTGTCTTGTCAAAATAACGGATTTGATTTGGGCGAAGCGAGTACCCGATTTGGTCCAAACTTGACAATGTTTCTATCGAACTTAGGACAGGATCGAAGATTGGCATCAGATTCAAAAATGGAAAACTTCGGCCCGGATTTTTTCCATTTTTTCCTATCTCAATATTTTTACCAACAATAGATCCAAAAAAATCAGCTACCTCTACTAACAAAATATGAGAAAAATATAAAATATATATGATATAATAAAGCATTTGTAAAATTATCAAAATACATCAGAAAAGTATCCAATTTTGGAGGGAGCTCAATCCTCAGGGCCGTCCTTGAGTACTTCTCTTGCCGCATGCTTGCATTTCAAAAATGTGTAGTTTGTAGATTTAATATTATATTTTTTCAAGTATTTATTAATCCACTTAATTTTACCTATAATGCGGGAATAAGGTATGTCAAAGATGTGGCTACCATTAGCTATAGTTATGTTCCTATTATGAAATTAATAGCAGAAATACTTTTAAATCTCCCTCTGAAAACTTTTACCTAAAAAACAAAAATCCATTAAATTTAACCATCCAAATTTGATGTAAACACTAATAAAAGTCACAAACAACAATTTTGCTGTAACCACTAAAGTTTAGTGGAAAAAATATTACCAACTCTCCAAAGTGAAATAATATGATTTTTAACGGGCTTTTTGTTTGCAATAAAAATGCGCAATAAGCAACAAACACAGAAAAAACTACAGCAACTACTATTGCTGTCAAATATAAATTTGAAATATTTAAAAGCCCCCCAAACAACTTTTGACCGAAGGACGTCATTATGGTCCCAAAAAATACCCAAACAGTTGAAACTCACACACACTGCCAAACACCACAAGTCAAGATAAGTTGAAAACGTTGTGAAATGACATTGGTATTGGTTATGGTCAAAGTTGAATTATTAAACACACAAAAACACACAGCTGCAATTGATGGCAGCAGAAAGCGGCATTATAAACCAAAAGCAATTGAGAAAAAAAACAAACGAAACGATTTCTATAGAACGCACAATCGTACACACGAATTGAAGAAAAACATGTAAATAAAAGCAAGAAAAAAACTAAAATGTTTCGTATTGGATTGGATATGTACATACATATACATACATAAATATAATTGTATATAATACCACCCCAAATGTTTGGCTGGAAATAAGGAAAAACACGTTGTGTACACCGCAGCGTATACGTTCCGTGCTTCCGGTTTTTTTTTCTTCGTTCATTCATACGCACCAAGGTTCTTATTTTCAATCAAGTTGTCAAACAAAAGTAACAACAACAAAAACAACTGTTACTCATTTCATCTTTGGGTCACCAGAAAATAAAAAAGAGAAAGAGAGCACGTGGTATTGGAGCTGAGCAATAAAAAGGGGTATCTCTGACATTTTCCGAAAGAGGTTGAGTATGCGACGGAGACAGCAATGAAATCTCCGAACATAAAAACTTACCAAAATTGAGAAGCCAACAAAATAACTTTGTTAACAACGCTCGGGCAGGTCTGCCTGATAAGACTGTTAGCTAGGCTGTGTATTTCTGAATGGTCAACAGTTAAGTTTAATTCGTTTCGAACAACGAGGGTGAGAGAACTAACTCTACTCTATGAGAGATGCTAATTCATTGGAACGAAAAGGTCTTATATTTACGTTTAAAAAAATCGCTGCAAATATTTATATAAGATTCATGGACTGGAGACTTGATCTTTTTATAAATTCAGCTTTAGTTCTATAGAAGATATATCTATAATTTGTTGCGACCAAATTGAAATAAGGGGAGGAGATCCCTTTTGGCATACTTGGCGTCGTTTGTCTCTAATGCGTTAATCGATCTATTCCAAATGTAGCCCATCGTACTATGTTTGTCAAACTCATATGGAGTTTGATGATGGATTATATCGCATTATATATATGGGGGCAATATATACATGTGAAACAATTTTTTTAGACTTATCTTAAATTAAAATGCTCTTTAATTGAACGATCGTACTTCAATTTACATCCAATGAGAGGAAACATATCGCTCATTTACTCAAACAGTGACATTACTCAAAAATTCGTTTTTTTTTTTCAAATAACAATTTTTATTATTATTTTTGTTATATATATATAAATTTTAATTTATTTATTTATTTTTTTTTTTTTTTTTTTTTTTGTAAATGTCCATGTTTATATCTGTCTGATATACGAACAAAACGTGCCTAGTCGAAATAACGGTTTTAGACCCTAGGTCTCTTTGGACCAAATCCGTTTTCAGACATTTGGATCGTAATATTATTATCAAACTCAGATCGAGTTCGGTACCTCCCCCACAAGACTTCGAAAATTTCAAAAAATATATTTTTTGAACTGAAAGAAGGACGAGAATCCGATTTTTCTCCAACTTTGCAAATCCAAATATGTGAGTCAGTGCTACGCCAGGTGCGAAAATGGATAATATCGGTCAACTCCATGAAGTACATCCCCCACAAAGGGTCAATATTTTGAATAATTACAACTCTTATAGAATGTAATGTAAGAGTCCGATTGTCTTCAAATCTCACACATTCCAATATTTTTATTAACCCAAGGTCTGGTGTCAAGATCGAATATATCGATCTTCTCGTTCTGGTACGTCCTCCACAAAAGGTCGAAATTTTCAAGAAATATATTTTCTGCACAAAAAGAGAAACGATAATCCGATTTTGCTCCAACTTTGCTAATCCTAATATTTGTGTCAGTGCTAGGTCAGGTGCGAAAATGGACAATATCGGTCCACTCCATCAAGTACCTCCCCCACAAAGGGTCAACATTTTGAATAATTGCAACTCTTATAAAATGTGATGTAAGACTCCGATTGTCTTCAAATTTCACACATCCCAATAATTTTACTAACCCAAGGTCTGGTGTTAAGATGGAGTACATCGGTACCACCCCCCACAAAAGGTCGAAATTTTGAATATCCATTAAGCTCAATAATTTTCCAGAAAAATAGTTATTCGTAAAGCCATTGAAATTCCAAAAAGTGCAAGAACTTACATCATAACATAAAGAAGATAGACTCAAAAGAGCACCACCATAACATCCGATGGTCGCTGCCGAATATTATCGCGCAAATATTCTGGAGGGTGTATTGAAGCCTTGGGCACGCAAACATGTTGGCCGCAGGCTTTGGACATTTCAAAAGGACTCAGAACCATCGCACTCAGCATGCACCACCCAAGAATAGATCTAAAATGAGGTTCCCAAAATCTCCGGAAACCAATCCGTTGGACTATAGTATCTAGAGTATTTTGGAAAGCAAGGTTGTCGCTAAAAATACCAAAGGGTCGATCACCTCAAGCAAGCGCTTCGCCGGGAATGGGCCAAAACACCGCAGAGCAAAATTTGGGCAGGGTGTGACGATGTCATTGGCCGTTTGAAGGCCATAATTCGTGCCAAAGGTTACCAATACGAACGAATCTAAACGTATTCTAAAATTTGATGCTATTTCCGACATTTTTTGCATTCATTCAATAAAATTTAAAAAAATTGTAAAAGTTATGGCGTTTGACTTTGTTGCAGTTTTTTATCTCACTATGACTCTACTCCTACCTGCGCCTACCAAAAATAACTAAATTTTTGTCCAAACTTTTTTTTTTGCAAAATGACAAATTTGGACAAAAAATGGTAAGTTTGCTAATAATTTAAAATTCTTTACGACATGAAGAAAGTATCCCAAATTCTGCAGTTCCTCCTTTTGTAATATTTTTGTATTTGTACAGTTAGTACACTTTTTGGATATACGAATCTTATTCGAGAAGTAACAATGGCCAAATCCAAGCATTGATTAAATTAAAAAAATTGAAAATTTTGGTAAAAACAACTATGAGTTATGGGCTATAATAAGAAATGAAGCAAGTTATTTCAAAAGGAAATCGCTTAAAATTTATGAATTTCACAAGAATTTAAAAATTGTTAAGATTTCTTTGTATGTTCTACAAAGTAATACATACAAATATAATACATGACATGCAAACACTTTAATGTCACCATAAAAAATTGCCTTCATATGATTTATATGCCCTACCTTGTAAATTATTTTCTTCTTATGAAATGTGAGAATTTGGTCCCAGGCTTGAACAATAACAAACTGTATCCCAGAAAAAAAAAACTCATTGCCTAGAAAAAAATCACTACGTTAGCATCTCCTTTTTTGTCAGAGTGCGTGTATACAAATGTTAACATATACACATTCATGTTGCTGTTTCAAAAAGTTCTCCCACCAAAGGGAATACCCTTCACACAAAAAAAAAAAAAAAACACCAAACCTACATAAGTATGCGTCTGTCTATATGTCAGTCACTACGAATGTACATAAGTATTGTTTTTGCTATTGATGTATGACTTGAATGTGTGTACAAAGTATATACATTTTTCTATACATTGGTTAGTTGAGTCTCTATTTTTCTACAATTCTATTATTTAATTAATTGATTCGATTTGAAGAAAACACCCCCACATTTAGCCATACAACGAAAACAATAAGAAAAACCGTTAACAAGCAAAAGCATTAACGGTAAACACATAAATATTAAATAACCTACCATTTAGTTCCGTTGAAGGCTGGAGCTTTTTTCTGTAAATTTTACGACCTTGCTGGTGGTCAGTGTTGAATAAATGATATTAACTCCTTTTGCAAAACGGCAGAAAAATTTCACCTTTATTTTGATTTATTTTTCCAATAACTTGGTATTTTAATTGAATATTTAATAATTTTTTTGTTTCATTATTTTATTCTATGACTGCTCATTCCGTTTCAAGAAATTTTCATTCACAATTTATTTGATTTTTTTTATTTCCAGGATAATCACAGCACTGCTTATCTACACAATACACACACAGAATATCAAAAAGTGAGCATACCCAAAAAAAGGAAAGGATTTTTGCTTTTTATTTCACTTAGGACGTTTTCTTGCGTTTTCAACGTTTTTACATCTGGGGATCTCAACACGAACTGAAAGAACAAGTCTTTTCAATGGCTTTTCATTGTGATTTTCTCAACCATACACAATTTTCTTTTGTTGGTTTACTCACTCAACTCAGTTTTGATTGAACCTAGAATTTATACTCTTCCGCACTATTTCTCTCTCACTCTCTATCTCTCTCACTTGAACGGACACTTGTTAAATGTTTTGTTTACATTTTTTGTTGGTGAAAACAATTCTAATGCGCCGACGTTCACCAATTATTGTTGGGGAGACCAATGTAAATGTGTGCGTGTTGGTGTTTGTTTCAACCACACACACATATATATATAGATGTACCAATGCATGTTGACCAATAAAACATAACAAAACACTTAGCTAGTCTCAGACATTACGTTTGACGTTTGCTAGCGGTGTCAATGCACCTGCACCTGTTATTCCTTAGCCATACACAACAATACATCCATATATATGGACTCTAGTCATTGTTGTTGTGACGTTTGCCCCATATTTATGGAATGTTATTATTATTTTTTTTTTTTATTTTTCACTCCGATAGACTATTGTCTGTTGTTTGTGTTGCATTAGTCCTGTTTGACTTTATTTACTGTCAGTCCCAATGGCACCATTTCCTTCCGTTTTCATAACCAACATCAAATGATGGCAAATATAATGAGTTTTTCATTACACGTGTAACATCTAGGAGTTACTGGCAGAACGAAAATCGTTCGCTAAGTTGATGCGTCTGTCCATAAATTTTTCTCCGATTGAGACAAAACTTTACACAATTCATTTGTTTGTCCGAGGCCGAGCCGTACTGAAATTTTCGGTAATCGGTTAGGATGTTACGATTGTTAGTTTGAGTTTTGGATCATAGGATCCAGATCCGACTAGCATAAGGTCTGTCATTTTTGGACCAAATAAAACGCTAACTCCAAATTATGCGTTTCATTCGATTCTATGGTAAGGTCTTCTTAAAGCATAGAAATGGCATTTGTTACAAGAGGTCACATATGTCAGAAAACAATACTTCCGTCAAATTAAATGGAAAATTTTCCACATTAATATATATTTCAAAGCCGTAATACGTCCATCCGATACGGTCACAGTTGGTATGATTTATTTCTCACAAGTTTTCAATATAAACTCAATATTTGCACATTGGTGTAGGGTATTATATAGTCGGTCCCGCACCTCTTTGTCTTTACCTAACTGGTTTTTGTTTGCGGTAATCGTTATCATGCAAAGTGGAAGTTAACAAACATACCAACGTTAGTACGTGTATATGCACACAACTTTTTTTCGAACTTTGTAAGTAGAGTAATAACCTACTGTTGTTTTCATTCCTTTTTTAAAGTTGAAGTTAATTTAAGTTTTTGTCAATACGATAAGATAAAAGTATATCAAAGATATTTTAGTATAAATAGAGTTTTTAAATAAAATTTTCGAAAATTTTTTTTCAAATTTGAGACCAATATTCGGAAAAAAATTGGCGACAGCAATGATCTGGTATTAATTACATTGGACGTAAACAATTTTATTGACTTTATACGTGCGACAAAATTTTTTATACCCTACAACACTATGTGTTGGGGGTATTATAAGTTTGATTGGGCCAAAAATTATGTAACACCACGAAATATTGGTTTCCCACATAGGAAAGTATATATGGATCTTCCTATCTCGCCGAGCTGAGTCGATCTAGCTATGTATGTCCGTCCGTCCGTCTGTCCATGTTAATTTGTAATCACTCTACAGGTCGCAATTATGGCCCGATTCTCACGAAACTGAAAATTGAGGTGGGGTTAAGGTCAGAATAGAACCCTATTTCTTTTGGAGATGATCGCACAATATTAAGGGGATGAAATGGACCAAAAACTGAAAATTTTCTTGATTTTACAGTTGCTCTACAGGTCGCAATTATGGACCAATCGACGCGGAAGTTAGCATGGGGCTAGAGTTCAGGACTGGGCAGAAGTCTTCCAATTTTGATGGTCATCGGGTAATATTTAGTTGTTGAAATAGACCATACCATTTGTGTTAAATAAAAGTCACGTTTTCCATTAAACCGCGAGTATTTTTAATATCGGCGAAATCACAAATAGACGAACAGTTCAATTCTGACCGTTACCTAGACGCCGATATTAAATATATTGGATATATATAGCGAAATATGTACAATATGTGTATACAAAGGAAGGGGATGTTAGCAAGAATGCTTATATCTCAAGAATGGCTGGACAGATTTCGACAAATTTTGTCAATTCAAAATGTGCCAAGAATAAAAGAATAAAATCTAAAAAAATCGCATAAAAAGATGCTAATAATGATGTTAATATAGATTTTGTAGTATTTTGTGACATTTTGTTATTTTTTCATTTATTTTATTGCATGCGATTTTTTCAATTTGACTTAGTATTGAAATGTATATTTTATAATATTTTTTCACCTTACCTTACAACACAGCTTGGTGTTATTATATACAGTCTGCAATTATCGTCCGATCCTCATGAAAAAGGGTAGGGCTAGGCACAGAAGGGCTACAGTCGGCCCCGCGCGACTGTAGCCTTTGCTTACTTGTTTTTCAATAATTTGGGAGAAAATCAGGCGAATTATGAAAAAAAGTGCTAAAGAAAGTAGAGAAAACCAGTTCAAAAGTATCAATCGGTTTAGCCGACATATGTACACCCTCAGCCAATGTTCGATTATGTAAATATATTTTGACTTGTGTTATGATTACTCAAATTGCTGACCCTCTATCGAGTAGGTTCCGAGGGAACGGGCCTATACTGTTCATTTCGTTTCGGACCTGAATAAATATAATATAAATATTGCAAAGTGCCAGGTTTGGACAATATTGGATACTTCCTTCATTTTATATGAGATATGTGATAATTTTTAGAAAATATTAAAATGTGATATAGTCGACCGAAGTATTCCACTTTCATACTTCATCTAATACAGCTACAAATATTGGATTGAGCAAAATTACGAAAAAAAAAAAAAATCCAACATTTATATCCAATTTTAAGCGAAGTCAAAAATTTAAAAGTATTGAAATTTGTGACCCTTTGTGTGTGAGCTACCATAAGGGTATCATCTTCACAACATATCTTGTGTTAGCAAAAATGTTTGTATGTGTGAAATTTGAAGAGAGTTGGATGTTTATTTCGCTTCCTTCGAGCGTTTTGTTTTTCAAAATCTTGAACCCTATGTAGGAGAGATACCAGATGAAATGTTTTGATGAAAATATTGAGATGTGCCAAGTCCGAATGGAATCGAACGTTAATTTCACGTTTTATGAGTTTCATGGATATTCAAAATTTTTATCCCTCTGTGGGGAAAGTACCAGATGGAATGAACCAATATACCTCATCTTCACAGCAGATTTTGTGTTAGTAGAAATAATGGGATGTGTGAAATATATAACATTATAATCGTTTTGGTTATTCTAAACTTTGACCCTTTGTGGAGAAGGCACCAAAGGGAATAGTCCGATCTCTACCATCTTTATAACAGATCTTGTGTTAATAGAAATATTGAAATGTGCCAAGTCTGAATGGAAAGCAGAAGGAATGGACCGTTTTGTCCCATCCTCACAGCAGATATTGTGTTAGTAGAAATAATAGGATGTGTGAAATATGAAGAAAATTGGATGTTTCTTTCGGATTTTATAATAGTTTTGGTTATTCTAAAATTTGGGTTAATAAAAATATTGTAATATAATAATCTAGAACAATTTTTAATTTCACACTTTTCCACAATAGTGATGTATAAAGAGAGATTTTTACTCGGATTGGATACGAAATAAAATAATAGGAACAAACCCAAACATATAATTTTCACTTTTAGTATATAAATTAATGAATGTATTTAAATGAAGGTAATTTTCATAAAAAACTATGGTACCTAGATTTATCGTGAATTCTGAGATTTATATTGAAATTATATGTCTAAAACGAAATTTTATGTTATTTCAAGAGCCAACTTGAAAAAAGTCCAAAAATTTGTACTCAAAAATTAGCGAATATACTCTTTCTTAAGAACACCGATACAATTTTTTTTTTTTTTTGATATGCAGGTGGGTGGCGCGTGTTGAGTGCGATGGTGCTGAGTCCCGTTGGAATGTCCAAGGTCTGCTACCAAAATGTGTGTGTGCCCAAGGCTTTAATACACCCTCCAGAATATTTTCGCGATAATATTCGGCATTTATTCTGATACCACGGTCGATTAATACGAGCGGATAGCGACCATCGGCTGTTATGGCGGCCCACACCATCACTATGGCCGGCGCTTGAGTTCTAGTGGCCAACCGAAGGTGCACATTTTCAGCTGACCTCTTTGGCAAATAAACACGATTATTTTGTTTGTTTACAAACTGCTGGACAAGGAAAGTGTCGACCATCTCAACGGGCCAAAATACCGCAGAGCAACATTCGGGCTGCGTGTGACGGTTTCATTGGCCGTTTGAAGGCCATAATTCGTGCCAAAGGTGACCAATTCGAACAAATCTAAACTTATTCTAAAATTTGATGCTATTTCCGACAATTTTTGCTTTCATTGAATAAAATTAAAAAAAAAAGTAAAAATTATGGCGTTTGACTTTGTTGCAGTTTTTTATCTCACCCTGTATTACGCAACCTCCTGAAATTTATTTGATCGTAATGTATGTAACGTAGAGCACCATATAATGTTACTTCCCAATAATGGGTATTTTGATGACTTTAGAGACATTATAGACAGGAATTGTTTCAAATTTCCTATTTGAAGTTCGGAATCGGTGCAACAGCCTACGACAATAAATTACTTACACGAGTTTTTTTCGATGCAAATTTTTTTTGGAAATTTTTCAAGTTCCTTCAAAATGGTGGAGGGTATTAATAGTTTGGTCCGACCGAATTATGTTGCTTTTTTACTTGTCTTTTTAATCATTGTGCAGCTATTCTAAAAAATCGATAGTTGTACTCAAATCGATAGTTGTAAACATTTTCGTCAAAAAACATTTTCCGAAATTGTACATTTGCGCACCTGACCATGCACTGATACAAAAATTAGGACTTGCCAAGTTGTAATACAATTTAATGATCCTTTTTCATTTTATGAGGTAAGTTATTTCTTTTGAAAAATGTATATTTCGAGGTGTTACAAACGGAATGACAAACTTAATATGCCCTCCATACTATGGTAGAGGTATAACAATGGGATTTGGGCAAAAACATTTACTTTTATACCAAATAATGAGTAACGGGGCACATAATTGAGGTATTACCAATCTGCCTCCAAGAATAAAAAACTAAGTCCAAATAGCAGTCGTTCTATTTTTAGAGCACCAGACTTGTGATTTTGTTAGAACCAGCTACTTTCGATTTTATAGTCGGAGATGCTCAATTATGTGCCCCGTTACTCATTACTTGGCATAAAAATAAATTAAATTTAATTAAATTTTTACCCTCTACAATAGTATCCTCCATATATTAAGTTTGTCATTCCGTTTGTAACACCTCGAAATATACATTTTAGACCCCACAAAGTATATATTCTTGATCAGCATAAAATTCTATGTCGATTTAGCGATGTCCTTCCGTCTGTGTAAATCACTCTAGCTTTCGAACGAAATAAAGTAGGTTGATAAAATTTTACTCAAATGTGTATTATGTCTGCAGGACTTTTGATATTGAAAATGGGTCATGTAGGTCCACGTTTTGGTGTAGCCCCCAATATAATGGTTCCTCCCTATTTTCGGTATTTTGGTGAATTGAGCGACATTAATCACAGGAAATGTTTCAAATTTGGTATTTGAAGTTCGTAATGGGTACTACAGCCTATGACAGAAAATTGTTTGTGGAGATCCACGTCTTCGTATAGCCCCCATATAACGGTACCTCCCAATATTCGATATTTTGATGATTTTGCGATATTATTCGTCATAATTCTTTCAAATTTGGTATTTGAAGTTCGTTACGGATACTACAGGCGAATACAGAAAATTCTCTGTGCAGGTCTTCGTATATCCCCCATATAACGGTACCTACCGATATTCGGTATTTTGATGATTTTAGCTACATTATTCACCGAATTTTTTATTCAAGTTTCGCATTTGAATATTTTAATGGTTTATGACAAAAGATGCCTATCCAATTCCACGTCGTCGTATGGACCCTAATATAACGGCTACATTCGGTATTTTAGGGATTTTAGCAAAATTTTGCAACAGATTTTTTTTTTTTGAAAATTGCCAAACTCGTTCCAAATGGTGGAGGGTAATCAAGGATCAATTTTTGGTTATCAAAAAATAACTACTTATTTCGTGTGACATGTCTTTGTTATAATAATAGATTTTTAATGAGTATTTCTGCTAATTCCAAATGACATATAGTTACATATGTCATTTCTTTTGTAACTCTAATACCTACCCTGTGAATTTGAGCAAGTCAGTGAAGCTAGAACTTAAATCTGATCGTATTTATATACCTAAAAATCTACAATTCTTTTTTGTTATCTTAAAAAAAAGACAATATAATAAATATGAACATAGAAATATGGACCGCTGTGCTAGAAACATACATATACATATACACATAAACATAAACATAAAACATGGCCAAAAATTGTATGGGCATACATTTTTCTGTAAACACTTTTAACTTCATTCATCTTCAACGCAGCCACATTAACGTAAAGTCGTGAAGCGCTTCCAAAAACGGTGCCATTCAACGAATGAATCAAAGGTGATCAAAATATTTTAATGAGTTACCGTTCTAAGCAGAAGCCCTTGATAGAGCTCTTACAACATGAATAAGTCAATCATCGCTTGCCATAAATTTCAACGGTTATTAAGAGGGGAAAAAATGAAATGCAAAAACCCATAACAATGAAATTAACTGGAAATGGTAAGAGGGACCCATGCAAGGGGTGGGGGTTAACAGATCGAAGTAAACAAGTTTTCATTAAAGAATAATGTATGCCATAACCATCTAAATATTGAAACGATCAAACAGACAATTGAATAGATTTTTTTATGTTAATTCATTTTCTCTATCGTTGTGGTCTAACAATGTTGATGATGATGGCGCTGAAGAAGTTGAAACTCTTTTTGGTTTTAATAGAAATTATTTGACCAGACTATTTGGAATTGCTTCTTCTATTTGGAATTGCTTTTTCAAACAAACAAAAGATCGACCAACTTTCATTTGTATTCATATTTAAATTACCAAATAAAACGAAAATAATAATAATAATACAGATGGTCATCATTCTACAGATGGATTGATGCCAATAATAAAAATAATAAAGCTGATGAAGATGATTATTATTAAGCATGAATGAGGAATTATTGAATATCTGTGGCACATTTCGAGCATCAATAATAATGAGTTTGCGAAATTGGGTTAACCCAAAATGGAATATTTCATTTCTTTTTTTGTTACTGTTAGACCAAATGTATAACTCAGATTGTAAAATGAATTTTAGTTCTACGTTTGATTTTAGAGAGTTAAGAACGAATGCGAAGTGAGCAGAAGAAATAAGTCATTGATACAATTTAAAAGGATTATTGTGAGAAAATGTGGAAATCACAGGTAAGAAAAGTGTGCTGGTATAGAATAGTGGAGGTGAAGATTTGTTGTGAATTACGCTCAACAATGTATTTTTGTGTGTATTTTTTCTTACAGATTTATATCCTACTCTCAATCACATGTACCACCATAGCTCTGGCAAAATCGGCAAAGTTAACCACAACATATCCTTCATATAATTTTCGTGAAATTGTTGGTATTTTCCCCAGTATTGAAAATGAGAGAATTGAATCGAGAGCTTCGCCACGACAGCGACCAGGATTTTCAACATATTGGCAAAATTTTGTACGGAACTTCCGATTCAATATGACTAATCCCATAGGTAATCTGTTCAGTGCACAGACCCAGCAAATTCTGGAAGCTCCTGTGGGCGTGCACAAAGATTTGGAACCCAATCGCATTAGGCGGACCCGGACACGAACTAGTCGCAAGCCGGTGACCAAGAAAAGTAGCAAAAAAAGACGAAAAACACATTTACGTAGCCAGCAAACAAGTGGTGGTTATTACAACCATTATGGTAGTAGAAGTGGTTATCAGCAATTGCAATTGTTGCCCTTGGGTATGGATGAGGATAGTGTAATGCATTTTTATGATCCTCGTTCGGGCAATTATTATGCCCTACAATTGGTGGGCGGTCCAAGTCATCAAGAGGATTACTACAATAGCCAAGAGACAAATGACGATGATGATTACTATGGCAATGATGGAGATGATGATGATGATAATTACAGTAGCCATTATCAACATCGAGATGAGCAACACGACGGCACCTATGATGGTTATAATGATCAGGAATACAATGAAGAGGGTCAAAGTCTTGGACCTGGCTACGACTACGATGATGATGTACAGGTTGTGGATAATTGGGGCTATAACGATGATGATATATTCGGCGAGAGAAAACTTAAGGACAAACCATTTAATTTTAAATTATTCGGTGGGCAAACAGAGGAAATTGAACAGCTACCAAGCGACGATCCACAAATAGCTCAGTCAATTGTGACCATACGTAAAAATCTACTGAAACAGGAAACCGCAGATGATGTCAAGAAATTGTTAAAAAAGAATAACCCCAAACCCATGGAAAGAACACTTGAAAACCCATCGGAGAATGCGGACGAAGACGAGATCGTTGAAAAGAGAAAGAAACTCAAACGTAGACTTAAACCAAAGGCCTCAAGCAGACGTACACCCGAAGATATTGAAACTGAAACTGTACGAAATATTTTAGGTTCATTTATGAAAGATGATTCCACAAATAGGCGAAGGCAAAGTGCTGTGCCGAAAACAACAAAACCTCAGCGATTAGTGGAACAGCCTAGGCAGCGTGGTTTATATATTATATATCCCCATTATTACCGATAGAAATAAAGAATTTTTTTTTAAATCTTTAAATTGTTGTTTGTGCGAATGGTTGGTGGGTATTGTGACATCAGTAAAACTAGGACAAGGACGCTGTTGTTAGTTCCATTAAAAAAATTGATAAACTTTCCCCACTGCAAAGAACGATAATACCATCACGTAATCACTTGTTAGTCAGGTATCTTCTGTAGATTTCATGTCCGAGAGACATGAGTGACAACTGATTGCTTCCAAAAAATGGTCAGAAAATCGAAACAAAAAAATTTTTTATCCTCACTCCTCAATTTTTCAGATCACTTTAGATCATATGATTTGGGACAGTACTAAGGCTTTTGTAAATGAAATCAGATGATACATAGTTTAATTTTATAATAGAATAAAGAAGCATTTTTCGTAGTCGTATATTTTTTATGTTTCCCAAATATATCGACTACGAGACCATTCATTCAATGTAGGTTTTAAAATTATATATTTTTTTTTGTTTTTCATGGACAACACAGACTACGGAACGTGTTAAACGTTCGCTTTAAATTCATAAGACAAAAGGAAACAAATGGTAAACAATATCCATAGAAGAGTTGCGTCCATAAATACTAAACTATCTGTGGAATCGTGGATTGATTTGTTAATTTGCAGTGTAGACTTACTTGCCACGAAATGCTCCACTCCATTGGACCAGTTTAATTATCGAATACAATCAAAGAATTGCCATAATTAATTTGAGTTTCATTATTATTCGCTTTTATATCCAAGTTTCCCATGCACATTCTTACCAAAATTGTCTTTCTAGACTCCAAACGTGATTTAATTTCTCATTTCTAGAAAAAGTTATATCTTTTGACAGATTTACTTATGTTGTGTTTTATTGGGCACATATTGGTGTTTTTCAACTGAAAACATTACCTCTTCATTGGTAACAGCAGAGGTAACAAGCCCATAGCTGACTTATTGCCCATAGCTAACTTATGAGACATCGGCAGAGCACGCATTTTAAATAATTTCAAGATATCCAAATTCGTGTACTTGCTAAGATTTGTCGCATCATAAATTTGTATTTTATTCAGGCTTTTCAGTACGAATGCAAATTTTTCAATATTCATCAAACAGACATCGTTTATTAACTCATTATTTCTATAAGAAATGTATGTATAAATTAATGATTTCAACATAAAGTTAAATAAGCATACCGGCAGTTATAAATTAGTTTACTTTAACTACATTAGGAAACGAAACAGGTTAATATAAATTGCATTAATATAATTGCATTAATAATTAATTAAATTTAATTAAGATGCACAAAATCGGTGCGGTTTGAGATATCTAAGGTTCTCTTGGTAAATCTACATGTTTAACTAATTCCAAGTCATCGAAATAGGGATGTAACATTGCATTTTTGGCAGAAATTCGATCATTGGGATCATATACCATCATAGCCTACAACAGAATGGAATTTAATGAATTTAATCTTAAACTATCACATTTTATTTACATACCTTAAATAGATCAAATGCTTCGTGTTTAACAATAATTTCTGGTATATTACTTTTTTCCCATCTAGGAAATTTGGCTTTATAATCTGGTAACTGAGATACACCAGGCCATGTATTTTCATCTGGTGTTCCTAAGGTTCTGAAGATTCTATACAGTTGATCAATTTCACTATCACCAGGAAACAAGGCACGACGCATTATCTTAAAACAGAAATATATTTTATGTAGTAAATATGATTAAACTAAATTTAGTTGTGATTACCATTTCAGCAAATATACAACCCAAACTCCAAATATCCATTCCAGTAGCATAAAACTTTGTACCCAACAGGATTTCCGGCGCTCTATACCATAGTGTTACAACTTCATGTGTATAGGCCCTCATGGGCATATTGAAAGCCCTTGCCAAACCAAAATCAGCCAATTTTATATTACCAGATGCATCGACCAGCAAATTTTGAGGTTTCAAATCACGATGGAGTATACGATTTGTATGGCAAAATGATATGGCATCAAACATTTGAAACATATAACTCTGGAAATAGAAAGGAAACGATATCATTTATATTAATTTGCAAGGAAACTAGTATATAACTGAACGAATACCAGTGAAAATACTCTTTCTATATCTTCCATTATAAAATGTACTGGATTAAAGAGAAGCTCAAGTACTATTGGTTTTCTAAAATCAGGAGGTACCGATATGAACAGGCTATTCTAAATGAGACATTGTTTTCATAATTTTTGAAAACGGGTTTACAGTCAATAAATATTTAATCTTGGGATTTACCGATCCAGTTCAGGCGTTAAGAAGTGCTCCGTACCAAGAATAACACATTCATTACGGATTATATAAATTAAGCATGTATGAACAATGGTTACCCAGGAACAAATAAAAATGAAAAATTTTTAGTCTTGGAAATATTGAGTCGAAGATGGGATATACGGTTGTGCATTGTCGTACTCCATAGACATGCTCATTAAAGTATTTTGGGAAAGGTCTGGTGGAACTTGTCCCCACTGTACAACAACCCCACGCAAAGCTTAATCTTTTTATCGACCCACATGATGATATTCAAGTGTTCATACCTTTATCAATTTAGGAGTAAAGACCTCTTTCTTTTTATCCATTAATTTCTTCAAATCCATATTGAGATATTCAAAAACCATATAAAGACTGGAATCTGCAACAACCACATCAAACAGCTGGACAATGTTCTCGTGCTGCAAGTCCTTCAGAAGCGAAATTTCTCTGATTGCCGTCGAAGGGACACCCTCGGTTTCACTGAAAATATGAAATAATTATTGAGCTATTGCAAATTTTACAAACAAAAATTACTAACATCAACAACAATTACCTTCTCATGTACTCATAATAATAGGATAGATAGCAAGAAAAGACAAGAGGGAGAGAATGGAGAGAATTCGTTAATATTATGCTTAGAATTAAAGAAAACACTTGTATTATAAACATTGCTGTTATTTTAGATGACTTTACAAAGCCGAATCATGTGGTGCTACGTTCTCCAATTTTTAATACACCGAAGCACGTACACGATTCGGATATTGTCTAGCATCTTTTGGAATGGTGGTGCAATGCCTTTTGTCACAGTATCTAGGATAAACTTTTAACATACTCTTACATACACATAGACACACACTTGTATAAATTACCCCTCGTATATTATGACATACCAAAGGAATCGTAACGCAAATGACATTCATGAAGGACATTCAAACACATTCAGTTACAAAGGCACCTGTCTAATGCGCCTCGACCTGCTTTCAACATTTTATTCATTTAATGCCGCTGTTTAAAACAGTAACAACAATTTGCCGATATCCTTAACGGCAGCATACGAATGTAACGATTGTGTTGATGGCTTTCGATGCATACAAATAATCAAAGTACACAAACCTACATATATCGCGAAATTTAGGTTGCCAAAGGATATCCAAAATATCCTTTTGAGCCGCACAATATTTACACAGACATGTTTCTTTTTTAATGCTTTTAATTCATACCTTTCCAAACGTATTTTCTTCAGAGCCACATCTTTTCCTGTCTTTGTATCCCGCGCTTTATACACAATTCCATAGGTGCCTTCGCCAATTTTCTCAATCCTTTGAAAGTTACCAACGTCGTGCATTATTTTTTTTATTATTTAAAATTAGAAAAACAAAACGAACATATATATTTTGTATCAAGTCGCTGAGAATATGCCAATTCGCGACGCCAAAAATTAGTACATGGCTCGTATGATGCCGCAGTGACGGCGTTACAATTTGCTTGGCTTGAGTAATAGGGCTCTTTAGGGCGATTATCGATTATAGGAGTAGTCGAAAATCACACTATTTTTACAAAATTAATACAATACAATAAGGAGCATGGTAGAAGAATATAGGTAGACGCGTCGACACAGCTGCTGGGATAATGAACTGTCAAACCAATTTTGGAATTAAAAATGTTGAATGAAAAATTATTTAAATTTGTAAAAATTGTTGAAAAACGCGAATTGTAATAGCCTCCGAATGATGTAGTATAAGAAAACATATAAAAATCTACTTATATTTGAAAAAACATTTAAATTTTTTTGACATATCAATGCTCCCAAGCGTTGATGCATCTACCTGTATTCTTCTGCCATGATAAGGAGGTAGAATAGCTTCGCAAAACTATAAAAAACATCCATGCATGCAACAATTTTTTTTTCGTTTATTCGATATTTTCCTCATTTTTGAAATGAGTTTAAAAGCGCGAAAAATGAATTTAAGGTCTTGATTTTTAATCCATATTTAATGAGATTAATCTTTCAAATCCGTGGCAAAACTGGCGAATAGTTGTAATACGCGTCTCGCATTTCACGCATCTTTCATGGGAATTTGAAAAACATTTTTTGGTAAAATTTGGAAATTTGGAAGGGGCATAAAATTATATTATATTGAATGACAACACCATGGTAGAAGAATACAGGTAGTCGCATCGACACAGCTGCTGGGACAATGAACTGTCAAACCGATTTTGGAATTGAAAATGTTGTATGAAAAATTTTTGAAATTTGTAAAAATTTTTGAAAAATTCATATTGTAACAACTAACGATTTGCTTCGTATAAGAAAACATTTAAAAATATACTCATTTTTGATAAAACAATGTTCCCAAGGTTTGATGATTCTTCTACCATGGACAACACCAATAATTGGTTTATTTTTATTTTATTTATTTATTATTATTTTTTTTAAAGGTTAACTCATTTGTTTAATGCTTTTTTCATTGTAATTGAACTTATTATTTTCCAAATAAAATATATTTCATATCTACATAATGGAGTGTAAAAACAGCTATTAATTCCGTATCCATGAAAGAGGGGTTTTTAATATTTCCTTGTATGATTTTATCTTGTACGGGAACGGCTTTCCAGTAACAAACTCTAAAAATAGTAAGGAGATAGAACAGCTTCATAAAAGTAGAGAAATACAGGCCTGAGGCTATTCCCGCTTACTGTCACAATTATTCAAAATTAAATGCGACAAGTTGTTTCCCTTTATTTGATATTTTACCTCATTTTTAAAATTAGATAAAAAGCGGGAAAAATAAACGAAATGAATGGATTTTATTTAAAAAATGATTAAAACTGTTCATTCTTTTAATTCCATGGCAAGCTGGTTAATGTCTATAAGGAGTATTCAATCTTTCAATCATTGATTTTGAAAATATTTTGTTTCTATTTTTCTAAACAATAAATACATACACAAAATTGCAAGAAAACATGGTCCCATTTCTGATTTGTGCATATACAACAGATTATTTATTATTACAGTACAATTAAAAAACATATGGTTGCGCAAGATATCATTTGAAATAAGAATATCCAGGGGCTGGATTCTTGTTCTATGAAAATATGAAATGAAAAATATTTCCTTTATAATATTTTTCATTTGACATTTCTTTTCTATATAAAAGTTATCATTTCACATTTTTATAGAGCAAGAATTGAGGCCCAGCTCCGCATTTCTCTGTGATTTATATTATCTAATTTTACTGAATAGAAAGCAAGTTCCCATCTCTGGTTTGTGCGTATTTTACTGTTTTCAAGGGAATAATTTGGAAAAAAATTAAACATATAATTGTATAGGGTTACCTTGGTAATTCTTCCGTGGATACTAGCATGATACAATAAGGAGGCAGAACAACTTCGTAAAACTACAGCCCTAAGGCTATGCCCGCTTCCTGTCAGAATTATTCAAAATCATAGATAACAAATTGTTTTCATTTATTTGATATTTTTTGTTCCTTTCTAAAGTAAGTCAAATAGCGCGAAAGATGTATGAAATGCCAGGATGTTCTCTCAAAAATATAATCCAAACTGTTCAATCTTTCAATTTTAGGTTAGTTTCATTAATGCGCGTCCCGCAATTTAAGTTTCTTCCAATCATTGATTTTGAAAATATTTTGTTTTTATTTTTCAAAACAAGAAATACATACACAAAATTGGCAGAGGTCGGGCAAACTTAGAAAAAATTGTAATCAGCTGGGAGCTCTACCTTACCTTTTCGTTGTACTATGCTAGTATAGTCAATAATTTTAGGTAAAAGAAAATGTTTATTTTGTATAGTCAATAATTAAAAAAAAAATAATATTAGTTATGGTTTCAAATACACGTCATCTGTACACTGTAGAACAAATTGTAAAATAAAATACTAGATCGCGAAAACAATATGAGTAGTAGAATAAAGAAGGTTCTGCAATTGATAATAAACACATGTTTTCATTATTGACTGTGGACCAAAATAATTGTGCGTCAAACAATAGCGCGCGAATCATCTACTGTGCGAACTTGACACTATTAGCTTCCAATTATTCTAATATGGCAACATGAGAATAACACGTGAATAGAACAATTAACCATATAATGAGAGTAACCGTCAAGCACTTTCACATCACTAACAAATTCTAAATTTCCATTGACATTTCTAGTTCTCCTCCAAATTCTCCCTTAGAATAATTCGGTCGCTGTAGAAGTGAAGAAATTTAATTAAAATTCATGAAATAAACTTAAAAATATAGTAAAGCAAAACAATCTAGAAGAACAAGTTGCAAAATTTTAGATTGTTAACGATAAATGTAAGTTTAATAATAATTCCGAGAATCAAAAACAATGTTTAGACCAAGTATTACAACAACATTACGCAATAATATTTAAACGACTTTTCGTATTGCCACAATGGGGGCTGTATTTTTTGTTGTGCATAGTGCACCCCATAAACTGCTTGGTGGAGCGTGTTACAAAACATGTGCTTATAATTTAATTTTATTTGTTATTGTTATTATCTGTTTCAGAATTCTCAATCATGGGAAACGCTGTTTCAATAGCCCAAATGCAAGCCGCCCAGGCTGCTCCAAAAAATCACGAAAACATGATGTCCTCTGGTGCTAATCCCCCTCCTGAATGTCCCATGCATCAGAAAGATGCCAAAGCTAGCGCCGATGTTAAGCCACCACATCCAAAAATGCAAGCAACAACAGTTTCGGCTTCAGAATGCCCTGTGAAACATGATAACAGTGATGTGAATCCTTTGAACATGATGCCCCCAGCCAATCAGAAACCAGCACCTGATCAGCCCTTCCCCCTACCCACCGATCGTCAAACGTCGAGCATACCCAAAGTGACAGAAGATGGTAGCGTACAATATTGGCAATATCCTAGTCAGCAAATGTTCTGGAATGCTATGTTGCGTAAAGGTTGGCGTTGGAAGAACGAAGATATCTCACAAAAAGATATGGGTGACATTATTCGCATACATAATGCCAACAATGAACAGGCTTGGAAAGAAGTTCTTAAATGGGAAGCGCTGCATGCCAGAGAATGTGGCAATCCACGTCTAAAGAGTTTTGGCGGCAAAGCATCAGACTATAGTCCTCGTGCCCGTTTCCGTCATATGTTGGGGTAAGTGAAGTTAAATTCATAAAACAAATTGTCGATATCGGGGTCTTTACACCATTTGCATGTTTTCAAAAAATGCAAAAAAGTTTGTATCTAGAATGTTTTGGAGGTGACTGAAAAGTTCCCTCTTGAAATTTTCAGACACAAATGAGCTGAAATAGAAAGATACTGTAAAAAACAATAACATTGTTTACCGTCCATATTGTATAACATGGAATTAATATACTAAACTTTTTCTTATCTTCTATTATTAAATCAGAAAATAATGTTCTCATTTCTAAATTATTAATATATTATTAAATTATTCATATAACTAAAAATTTTGGGTTTAGTTTCCGGAAGTAGATATCGAAAATTTCAGTGGAAATCTTTGAATTCACATATATCTCAAATAGACAAAAATAGCGTATTGAACACTTAAAGATGACAAAGACCATATAAGTGATCTTTAAGGATTTCATAAATTATGTATATTTGTAAATACAACAGAAATGTAGAATCAAGGTAAGGTAAACAAGATCAGTCCTTACTTTGAATTACTTAGGCAACTTACCCATAACGGCATTTCAATACTTCCATGTATTTTTACATTTCATTGGAATTGTTAAAAATCAGTCAATATTTTGTTAAAACTTCTACATTTTTTTCTGCGGATCTATAAAAATTATACGAATGTGGAATCGACCTCAAATCACAACGGAACTAAGACCCAATCTAGCAAGCTAATTTTTATTCAAATTGCTTTATATATCCTTGCAGTTGCTTATTTTTTATTCTCAAAATTAATGCTTTATTTCATTTTTATTTTCAGTTATGAATTACCCTTCGACCGTCACGATTGGATTGTTGATCGTTGTGGCAAAGAAGTACGTTATGTCATTGATTACTACGATGGCGGTGTTGTGGACAATGACTATAAATTTGCTTTGCTCGATGTGCGTCCAGCTTTAGATTCGGTTGATAATGTTTGGGATCGTATGCGTGTTGCCTATATGCGTTGGAAATTCGCTGCATTAGATATGATCCAAGGACCACCATCATCACCAACCAGTGGCAAGGTTGATCAATAAACCAAACCCGGACAAAAACCAAATCCTATTAGTTAACTAACTACAATTCAGGATATATAATAAAGATTTAGATATAAAAATGATATTCATTTCAAAATCTAACTTTTTACTATATATTTGAATTAGCAATTTAATTTAAGATTATCATTTTTATTTTATTTATTACATTGGCAATAATAACGTAAATTAGACAAAACAATTGACTATTTTAGCATGTATACCATTTAACATGCCTTTAAATAGTATCGACGATTAATGAAAAAATGTAGCCAGTACTTTTAAACAACACATATTAATTGATACACCCATTAAATCCATGTTACTTAAAACTCGATATAAAAATAATAACTGTTAGTTCGAATGAATTAATGAAAATTATATCGATTGCAAATTTGTTATCTGAGTGTTGATAAAGAAAGCCACAACAACAAATTGAACACATAAAATACATGATTAGAAAATAAAAGAAAACTAGCTATGTACCAATAAAACCTAATAAAAATTGTAAAATTCAATTCGAAACTAAATAACAGGTGTTTTTTTTTATTTTAATCGCTGGCTATTTTTATGTTCTGTTATCCTTTAAAAATTTGTTTTAATAAGAGTCATAATTCTCACTAAATGCATTTTAACACATGAATTTAAAAGGAATTTTCTGGATAAAATACCATTAATGCAATTGACATGAAATTTGCATATTTTCAGTAACCTATGTTAATTTAAGTGTAAGCTAATGGATTGGTCTATTAGCGTCCAAGAAACTTTGAAACTAAAAAGAGCACCGTCTAAAGACTTTCTAAAAGGTATTTTAACCATGAAAATGTCCATTAATTTATGGAAGAAGAAGACATAAACAAGGTCTTGAGGATTTGTAAAATGTCTCAAATCCGTAGAAGACCCATGAAAGATTCACTATCAAAGTCCTGTACAAGAACATTTTTCTATTCATGGCATGAAATTGGAAGGTGCTTTGAGATAGAGTTAGAAATCTGACATAGGTTCATGAATAGGGCTAAGAGGTATTAAATCATTTTTGTTGTATAATTTTTATTGAATTGGTTTTGGAATTTGTTATTAGAGGTGGGGTGTAAGGAGTTGGAGTTGGCAGAAGATGTTTAAGAGGCGACTTGTGGAATATTTGGACAAAAGTATAAAATGACACTCACTCATGTATCGGTTTTGTATGAAGGGATTGCACTAGAATTCTGAAATTAAGCAGAGGTCTTGAAATTAAGAGGTTCTGAAATTAAGCAAAGGTCTTAAATTCGAATTTTAGGGAACGAAATGTACGAAATAACACTATAAAGAGTGAGATGAAAATGCTGCAACCAACTTCAGACTGCTGTCATTTCCAAGCCAATCGTCCGACAGCTGTTAAAATTATTCCAGTGACAGCTCATTATATTGTTTACAAGAGTACAAAAAAAGTTATTCGTGATGGAATTCAAGCGCGAAAGTGTGATTTCGTTATATTTGGCTGGAAAACCACAAGTGGCATTTAAATGAGAATAAATCTTTTGTGTCTCGTACCATCGCTCGTTACCGTGATACTGGTAGCGTAGCCCGACGTCAAGGAAGTGGACGGAAGAAAACAGCAACATCAGCAGAAATGGTTCGAAAAGTAAAGAAGCGACTTGGTCGAAACTCGCGTCGCAGTGGCCGAAAAACGGCTCGTGAGCTGAACATATTGCAATATTTCATTCGGCAAAGATTGAAAAATGAGCTCGGGGTAAAGCCATTGAAATTCCAAAAAGTGTAAGAACTTACACCGCAACAGAAAGAAAATATATTCAAAAGAGCTGAGGAGTTGCTTCACTTGGTGGACAGCCAGAATTTGGGTTTCTCCGATAAGAAAACATTCGTGGTCCAGCAGTTTGTAAACAAATAAAATGATCGTGTTTACTTGCCAAAGAGGTCAGGGGAAAATGTGAACCTTCGGTTGACCACCAGAACTCAAGCGCCGGTCATGGTGATGTTGTGGGCCGCCACAACAGCCGATGGTCGCTCTCCGACCGTACTAATCGACCATGGCATCAGAATAAATGCCGAATATTATCGCGAAAATATGCAGGAGTATGTACTAAAGCCTTAGGCACGTAAACATTTTGGCCGCAGGCCTTGGAGATTCCAACAGGACCCAGCACCATCGCACTCAGCACGCGCCACCCAAGAATGGTTACAAAATGAGGTTCCTCGCTTCAATTTTTTAGCTCACAATGGCCACCAAAATCTTCGGATAACAATCCGTTGGACTATTGTGTCTCTACTATTTTAGAAAGCAAGGTTGGCAGCAATTTATCATTTATAATATTATTATAAGAAATACTGAAAAATACTACCTTTTGTACCACACGTTTTCTGTGAAAGTGCTTGTCAAATTTCTTTCTAAAGAGTAGATAGAGCAAAAGTTGTTCTGCATTTACGAAGAATAAAGAGATCTACAAAAAATGATTAAAAAAAGTATGAAGTGAAAATAGGAATATATTGACAAATAAGGGTGATAATGATTCAATAAATTATTGCGTTGATGTGAAATCATTTGTTAAAGAGCCAAATGTGGATTTCTTTGAGGGACCCACAGAGCAATATAGGTAACTTTACAAAAGGAACTTTTCAGAAAAAAATCAACTTATGGCCTTCACCTTTTATGGACAATTCTGCGGAAAACTTAGTAAGTTTATAGAAAGTAATCAATCAATTCTAAATAATATACACACATAATTTTGTTTGTTTCTTGTTATCACAGCAAAGTACTGACGTAAAAAAGTATTAACGGATTCATCAAGTTTACTTTCGCTTGTTTCATCACCGCACAAAAATGATGACATCCAAGACCGCTTTGTGTATAGTGTATTAGCATTAGCCAATTATGACATATCAATAGGGTATATTAACTTTGTCATTCCGTTTGCAACTCCTCAAAATACTCATGTCAGAACCAACAAAGTATATATATTCTTGACCAGCGTAAAGTTCTAAGTCGATTTAGCCATGTCCGTCTGTCTGTATATTCGGTATTTTGATGATTTTGGCGACATTATTCACCGGAATTGTTTCAAATTTGGTATTTGAGATTCGTAATGAATACTACAGCCTATGACAGAAAATTGTCTGTGCAGGTCCACGTCTTCGTATAGCCCCCATACAACGGCACCTCCCAAAATTCGGTATTTTGATGATTTTGGCGGCATTATTCACCGGAATTGTTTCAAATTACGTATTTAGAGTTCGTAATGGGAACTACAGTCTGTGACAGAAAATTGCCTATGCAGGTCCACGTCTTTGTATAGGCCCCATATCTCAGTACATCCCTATATTCGGTATTTTGACGAGTTTAGGTACAATACCCAACGAAATTTTTTGAGATATCGTATTTGACGTTAGTAAGGGATGCTATACCCTGTAACAGAAAATTGTCTATGCTGGTCCAGGTCTTCGCATAGCTCCGATATAACGGTACCTCCCTATATACGATATTTTGATGATTTTCGCAACATTATTCACCGTTTTTTTGCAAGTTTCGGATTTGAATATGGCAATGGCTAATGGCAAACAATGCCTATGTAGGTCCACGTCGTATAGACCCCAATATAACGGCTATATTCGGTATTTTTAAAATTTTAACAGAATTTTTTTATGGATTTTATTTTTTGAAAATTTCCAAATTCGTTCCAAATGGTGGAGTGTATTCAAAGTTCGCCCCGGCCGAACTTACTGCTTTTTAACTTGTTATACTCTCCACCATTCTGTGGAGAGTATATTAACTTTGTCATTTCGTTTGTAACTCCTCGAAATATTCATAATAGACCCTGCAAAGTGTAAAATTCTAAGACCATCTAGCGATGTCCGTCTGTCTGTTGTAATCACGCTATCTTTCGAAAAACTTGAGATAGAAGGTTAAAATTTTGCACACACGCAAAGTTTACCAGTAGACAGATAAGTTCGTAAATGCGCCATGTCGGTCCACGTTTTCGTATATCCTCCATATAACGGTATCTCCCGATATTCGATATTTTCATGATTTTAACGACATTATTTACCGTAATTATTTCAAATCTCGTATTTGGAGATCGTATGCGTATTTCAGCCTATGACAGGTCCAAGTCTTCGTATAGCCCCCATATAATGCTACTTACCGATATTCGGTATTTTGATGATTTCAGCAACATTATTCCGGAATCGTTTCAAATGTCGTATTGAAAGATCTTAATGGGTACTACAACTTATGGCAAAAAAAAAATCGTATGCAGGTCCACGTCTTCGTATAGCCCCCATATGACGGTACATCCCAATACCCCGTATTTTCATGGTTTTTGCGACATTATTCAAAGTAATTGTAACAAATTTCGTATTTGAAGTTCGTAATGGGAACTACAGCCTATGACAAACATTTCGTATGCAGGTCCACGTCTTCGTTTTTTCATTTAAGTGGTAGTTTTCGGATTTTTTTTTTAATGTGGAGGGTATTAAAAGTTCGGCCAAGCTAACATAGCTATTTATTTTGCTTGTTAAAATTTATGACCGTATTAGACTCGGCATAGTTTGGATGTGTGTTTGACCAACTTTTCTATAAGTAGATATGAATCTCTGGTCAATACCAAGATACATATTTTCAATGACTTTATATTATTATTTTAAGAATCGAAGAAATGACACTTTACCGCAAATTTTGTGGTGTGCGGCCTGAATATAGTCTTTATTTACTACCTTGTATATGTTACGAAATAAATATTATTTTCATATATTTATGGAACCAAGTACCGGTCCGACCATTTTCCAGTTGTTCTCGGTTGGGCCGGTCAATTTTTCCCTTTTTCTGTTTTTTTAAAGAAAAATGCTTCCAAATGTGTTGAGTTGTGCTCGCCTAGCATTTCATCCATATATAGGAAGTTTGTTTTTCTATTCGTTAAACTAATATTGCATATTTAGAAACAAAATATTGAAAAACTTAAAGTTTAAATTCTTTGTGGATTTGGAATAAAAATTCGTACGGTTATTGCTGAAACAAACTCACAATGCACTGTAGACGAAAACTAAAAAATGAAATTGGAGCATGTTTCACAAGAACATTTTCAATAGGATTGGAATCCCCATCTCAATAGAGAGAAAGCTATTAGTCACTTAAAAATTGAATTGAAACGATTTATACGGAATGAACTCGCACCCTTGTCATACACCAACCAACAGGTTGTATCATTCATATTTCAATCATAGTTCGAATCGTCAGTCGATGTGTGATTTTTGTCAACGGGGGTTCCGTTTTATCTATCATTTAATTTACTGATTCATTGATTGCGATTGTAAAAACTAACCTTCGGTAATGAGAAACAACAATTATAGGGGGCGCGATTTTCACATTCACACACTTAAATATTTTCAATGATTGCCTCTTGCATTGTTTTTAACGACCACATACGACTTTTGCCCATATTCTAAGAAGTAAGAAAGTATAAAGCGGTTTACCGACAGTTATATATCGGCCAACCTATAACCGTATGTACAGTTATACTGATTATATGCAATCAGTATA